TTGATCAAAATACAGTAAAAAATATGAAATATTATTATAATGTAAATCATCTGTTTTCTATGTGAATATACAGTAAAGTGTAATTTATTCCTGTGAATTTCATCATCATTACTCCAGTCTTCAGAGTCACATGATCCTTCAGAAATCACTCTAATATGAGGATCTGATGATCAACACACATTTATGATTATGATCTAAAAACAGTTGTGCTGCTTCATATCTGTGAGAAAACCATTTGCTACACATTATTTTTCAGGATTCTTTGATGAATGGAAAGTTTAAAAGAAACAGCTTGAAATAGAATCTTTTGTAACATTATAAATGTCTTTACCGTCACGTTTTTGATACATTTAATGCGTCCTTGATGAATTAAAGTATTAATTTCTGATGCTCTTCACATGATGGTCATAAATGACTTGAAATAAATGTATTTTAAATACATTTTAGCAGTGTTGTAGTACTCGAGACTCGGACTCGGTCTCGAGACCATATTTTAATGGTCTTGGTCTTGTCATGGACTCCATTTGGACTCGGAATTGACTCGTACTGGAATTATTCCCGAGTCCACTCGAGTTCAATTAAAAATATTTGTCATGATTATTAATGTTTGTTAATAAAATATTTCTTTAAATTGATTGACACGCCCAGTGATTGGTGATTTTCTAGTGCGCAACTGCGCATGACAAATTGTAATAAAATTACTTTTAACACCACCTACTATGTGGCCTTTTTACCCTAAACTGATCATATTTTTTTTAAACTCTAAGTAAATACAGTAAAAAAAAAAAAAAAAAAGTATTTCTCTAAGTAAATAAAAGTAAATTAGGTAATCAACCCTCACTGGTCTCGGTCTCGACTCGGACTCGACCGTCTCTGGTCTCGGACTCGACTCGGACTCGACTCTCTCTGGTCTCGGACTCGACTCGGACTCGACTCTCTCTGGTCTCGGACTCGACTCGGACTCGACTCTCTCTGGTCTCGGACTCGACTCGGACTCGACTCTCTCTGGTCTCGGACTCGACTCGGACTCGACTCTCTATGGACTCGGACTCGACCGTCTCTGGTCTCGGACTCGACTCGGACTCGACTCTCTATGGACTCGGACTCGACCGTCTCTGGTCTCGGACTCGACTCGGACTCGACTCTCTCTGGTCTCGGACTCGACTCGGACTCGACTCTCTATGGACTCGGACTCGACCGTCTCTGGTCTCGGACTCGACTCGGACTCGACTCTCTCTGGTCTCGGACTCGACTCGGACTCGACTCTCTCTGGTCTCGGACTCGACTCGGACTCGACTCTCTCTGGTCTCGGACTCGACTCGGACTCGACTCTCTCTGGTCTCGGACTCGACTCGGACTCGACTCTCTATGGACTCGGACTCGACCGTCTCTGGTCTCGGACTCGACTCGGACTCGACTCTCTATGGACTCGGTCTTGACTCGGACTCGACTCTCTATGGACTCCGTCTTGACTCGGACTCGACTCTCTCTGGTCTCGGACTCGATACGGACTCGACTCTCTATGGACTCCGTCTTGACTCGGACTCGACTCTCTCTGGTCTCGGACTCGACTCGGACTCGACTCTCTCTGGTCTCGGACTCGACTCGGACTCGACTCTCTATGGACTCGGTCTTGACTCGGACTCGACTCTCTCTGGTCTCGGACTCGACTCGGACTCGACTCTCTATGGACTCGGACTCGACCGTCTCTGGTCTCGGACTCGACTCGGACTCGACTCTCTATGGACTCGGACTCGACCGTCTCTGGTCTCGGACTCGACTCGGACTCGACTCTCTATGGACTCGGTCTTGACTCGGACTCGACTCTCTCTGGTCTCGGACTCGACTCGGACTCGACTCTCTATGGACTCGGACTCGACCGTCTCTGGTCTCGGACTCGACTCGGACTCGACTCTCTATGGACTCGGTCTTGACTCGGACTCGACTCTCTCTGGTCTCGGACTCGACTCGGACTCGACTCTCTATGGACTCGGTCTTGACTCGGACTCGACTCTCTATGGACTCCGTCTTGACTCGGACTCGACTCTCTCTGGTCTCGGACTCGACACGGACTCGACTCTCTATGGACTCGGTCTTGACTCGGACTCGACTCTCTATGGACTCCGTCTTGACTCGAACTCGACTCTCTCTGGTCTCGGACTCGATTCGGACTCGACTCTCTATGGACTCGGACTCGACCGTCTCTGGTCTCGGACTCGACTCGGACTCGACTCTCTATGGACTCGGACTCGACTGTCTCTGGTCTCGGACTCGACTCGGACTCGACTCTCTATGGACTCGGACTCGACCGTCTCTGGTCTCGGACTCGACTCGGACTCGACTCTCTATGGACTCGGACTCGACCGTCTCTGGTCTCGGACTCGACTCGGACTCGACTCTCTATGGACTCGGACTCGACTGTCTCTGGTCTCGGACTCGACTCGGACTCGACTCTCTATGGACTCGGACTCGACCGTCTCTGGTCTCGGACTCGACTCGGACTCGACTCTCTATGGACTCGGACTCGACTCTCTCTGGTCTCGGACTCGACTCGGACTCGACTCTCTATGGACTCGGTCTTGACTCGGACTCGACTCTCTATGGACTCCGTCTTGACTCGGACTCGACTCTCTCTGGTCTCGGACTCGACTCGGACTCGACTCTCTATGGACTCGGTCTTGACTCGGACTCGACTCTCTATGGACTCCGTCTTGACTCGAACTCGACTCTCTCTGGTCTCGGACTCGACTCGGACTCGACTCTCTATGGACTCGGACTCGACCGTCTCTGGTCTCGGACTCGACTCGGACTCGACTCTCTATGGACTCGGACTCGACTGTCTCTGGTCTCGGACTCGACTCGGACTCGACTCTCTATGGACTCGGACTCGACCGTCTCTGGTCTCGGACTCGACTCGGACTCGACTCTCTATGGACTCGGACTCGACTCTCTATGGACTCGGTCTTGACTCGGACTCGACTCTCTATGGACTCGGTCTTGACTCGGACTCGACTCTCTCTGGTCTCGGACTCGACTCGGACTCGACTCTCTATGGACTCGGTCTTGACTCGGACTCGACTCTCTATGGACTCCGTCTTGACTCGGACTCGACTCTCTCTGGTCTCGGACTCGACTCGGACTCGACTCTCTATGGACTCGGACTCGACCGTCTCTGGTCTCGGACTCGACTCTCTATGGACTCGGACTCGACCGTCTCTGGTCTCGGACTCGACTCGGACTCGACTCTCTATGGACTCGGACTCGACTGTCTCTGGTCTCGGTGTCGACTCGGACTCGACTCTCTATGGACTCGGTCTTGACTCGGACTCGACTCTCTCTGGTCTCGGACTCGACTCGGACTCGACTCTCTATGGACTCGGACTCGACCGTCTCTGGTCTCGGACTCGACTCGGACTCGACTCTCTATGGACTCGGTCTTGACTCGGACTCGACTCTCTCTGGTCTCGGACTCGACTCGGACTCGACTCTCTATGGACTCGGACTCGACCGTCTCTGGTCTCGGACTCGACTCGGACTCGACTCTCTATGGACTCGGACTCGACTCTCTCTGGTCTCGGACTCGACTCGGACTCGACTCTCTATGGACTCGGTCTTGACTCGGACTCGACTCTCTATGGACTCCGTCTTGACTCGGACTCGACTCTCTCTGGTCTCGGACTCGACTCGGACTCGACTCTCTATGGACTCGGTCTTGACTCGGACTCGACTCTCTATGGACTCCGTCTTGACTCGAACTCGACTCTCTCTGGTCTCGGACTCGACTCGGACTCGACTCTCTATGGACTCGGACTCGACCGTCTCTGGTCTCGGACTCGACTCGGACTCGACTCTCTATGGACTCGGACTCGACTGTCTCTGGTCTCGGACTCGACTCGGACTCGACTCTCTATGGACTCGGACTCGACCGTCTCTGGTCTCGGACTCGACTCGGACTCGACTCTCTATGGACTCGGACTCGACCGTCTCTGGTCTCGGACTCGACTCGGACTCGACTCTCTATGGACTCGGTCTTGACTCGGACTCGACTCTCTCTGGTCTCGGACTCGACTCGGACTCGACTCTCTATGGACTCGGTCTTGACTCGGACTCGACTCTCTATGGACTCCGTCTTGACTCGGACTCGACTCTCTCTGGTCTCGGACTCGACTCGGACTCGACTCTCTATGGACTCGGTCTTGACTCGGACTCGACTCTCTATGGACTCCGTCTTGACTCGGACTCGACTCTCTCTGGTCTCGGACTCGACTCGGACTCGACTCTCTATGGACTCGGACTCGACCGTCTCTGGTCTCGGACTCGACTCTCTATGGACTCGGACTCGACCGTCTCTGGTCTCGGACTCGACTCGGACTCGACTCTCTATGGACTCGGACTCGACTGTCTCTGGTCTCGGTGTCGACTCGGACTCGACTCTCTATGGACTCGGTGTGAGGTGGTCTCGACTACAACACTGCATTTTAGTATAGGTTTTCTTTCACAAAAGACTGAAAAAGAAATTTCCAACATAAACTCTCATAAATCTGAATGCCTTTGATCAAAAACAGGAGTTTTGTGTCTTAAAGACACTTGCAGATTATTGCTGAAGAGAAAGAAAAGTTTAAAATTTGAACAAAAAAAAAAACAAGTTAAAGACTTTTATTGTTTATTGTTATGAAAAATGGACAAAATACTGTTTTCAATTGTTATTATCCCAGACAAAAACAGAAAATCAAAGCCATAACTGTAAAGAGGTCAAAGGTTGATCTCTCAGTAAATGATGTTGTTGAGCGCAGTACCGCACGCGTCCACTAGAGGAAATTCATTTCTAATTTTTGAGCGCGTGTCTATTTCTATCAGGACCATTTCACCTTTTCTATTCATTGTGTTCTCAGAGCGAGTGCCAAAACCTGTTTAGTAAATCACTGCGCAGCCAGAGTGTTAAAGCCTCACACTGACCCCGAAGCTTAGAATGTGTGTGTGTGTGTGTGTGAAGGACTCACCTAACACTCCTAACCTGTAGTTGACGGTGACGACGATCACGTTGCCGTAGCTGGCGAGGACACTGCCGTCCATCATGTTCCCGGTTCCCTCCACGTACGAGCCGCCGTGAATATAAACCATGACCGGCTTCAAACCCGACTCATCGTGTGTGTCTGAAACAAGAGAATGACTTAATACAAACACTCTCTCTCACAGACACACACACAGTTCAATTGCGGGTGTGCCTCTCTCTCTCTCTCTCTCTCTCTCTCTCACAGACACACACACACAGTCCGATTGCGCCTGTGCCTCTCTCTCGCTCTCTCTCTCTCAATAAATTCAATAAAAAACTACGTCATTGGCATGACTGTACTAGGGCCAGACCGATATATCGGCAGACCGATATATCGGCCGATATTAGGCATTTTCCAAACTATCGGTATCGGCAGTTATAATGGCCGATAAATGAATATTTCAAAAATAAATTAAAACGGACGAAACACACTTGAACCATGTCATGAGTGTTGGAGTTTTATAGTTTGTCCACCAGAGGGTGCTCTACACCGTTCCTGTTGGCAACACTCGTTGAGTTGGTCACGATACATACAATTAAAAGAACATCCCCATCAGTTCTCTAAACTCAAATAAGCATGACAAAATTTGTGACTATCATGTCCAGTTTAAAAAAATAAATGAATAAAATATCGGCCGATATATCGGAATATCGGATTTTAAAACCCAAAAATATTTGTATCGGTATCGGCCTTCAAAATCCTTTATCGGTCGGGCTCTAGACTGTACATCATACACTGAAAAAAATAATATGCTTTATCTAATCAATAAAATTGTGGCAACATATTACAAGCAATATTATTAATTAAATTGTACAAATTAGAATATTAATTTGATTAAATATTACTCAATTCTAATTTGTTCAATTTAATAAATAATATTGCTTGTAATCTGTTGCCACAATTTTATTGATTAGATAAAGCATATTCATTTTTACAGTGTACAATATTGCCAAAGCTTACGTAGAATAATTATAAAGACATCAAAATAATCAAATATTATAACTATTATAAATGTACAAATTAAATTAATTGTAGCTACAAATTAACAGTGTTAAAAAAAGAACTGTTTATGAGCATTTCAAAATTCTGTGAAGTAAGTGTTTTTGTGCTTGTGTGTGTGTGTGTGTGTGTGTGTATCCGGCTGCAAGTGTGATACAGTCTCTTTTTCACCTAATAGATGTTTAAAGTGGGTTTTATTGTTTAATTTTTTGAAATTAGGGCAAAGTATTTCAAGTTTAATTTTTTTGTAAAATTTTGCATTTCAAATTTTGTAAAGAAAAAAAATCTTTTATCTCTCAAAATTAATTGAGTTTGTGCTTAAAAAAAATCCCAAATATCTGCTACTGGAGTCTGTTCTGCTTTTCAATTTCCAGCAATATTTTATTCCAGAACGTAATATTAGTCATTTTGCTCACGTGTATCTTGAAGAACGTTAAGATGGAAAACAGGACAGAAATACAGGATAAGAACGTTTTTTGTGGTGCAAATATTGACGAATCTTTGGCGAATTATTCCATTAATGTGAAACTTCTGCATTTAGAGGAAATGTTGAAGATTTTGTCCTTAATCTTAGACGACTGAGGTCATTACTGAGCTTTTACGTCTCATCCATTAGTCCTGATGGTCTCCATTAGCAGAAGATTCAGGCCAAAACCAGCTGAACTCTGGGAAACTGGACAATTATGAAAAACTGCTGACTGTTTCCATTACGCATGAAATATGAAGCGTTTAATGAGAGGATGTTTACTGTGGAGCGTTATTGAGTTTTGTTCTGTTTAAAAAAAAGAGCTTCAGTTTCATAAAAGCACGCATGTTCAATGAAATCAGCGTATCTTCACATAAACAACGGCCGTATCACTGTACATATTCAATAAACCGCTGATCGTCCAATAACACAAGCTCATTCTCATCATATTTAATGATCAACACCATCAAAACTTTGTTCACACACAATCTCTCCAGCAGATATCGCGATATCTCCAATATTATTGGCAGATATTGATATTTAGTATCAGCTATAATGTTTAAGATCTCATTGATTTACATTACAAGCTTCATAATTTCATATAAATATCAGCATATTTTTGCTCAGAATAAAACTGAGCTGTTTATTCTCCATATTCTCTCTATATGAGCCATTAAATATAAGTGGATCAAATATGATACTCAAACATATGCGACATTTTTTTTTATTTTTTAGATTTTGTCTAAAGGTTAAATAGCCGTTCCGTTAAATAGGGAGAGAGAGAGAGAGAGAGAGAGAGAGAGAGAGAGAGAGAGAGAGAGAGAGAGATGTTTAACACTTTTTATTTTCCTATCATGTTACGCAATAATCACGTTTTCATAATTAATAACAATGAGTAATAAACAACAATATTAATTCCAATATTAATTCCACTGAAACACTAATTTATCATTCACAAAAATAAAATTAGCATTTATACACCACTTTTTTTTTTTTTAAAAATGTGCATATCATTATTAATTTTATAAAATTCATACTCTATTTTAACTCTGGATTCTACCAAAGCTTTGAACAATTCTAACATATTTATCCTTTTATCCTCATTTTCAAGTTTATATGCTTTCCAAATAGTTAACTTTGCTTGACCAATCAAAAAATTGGAAAAGGTGCAGGACTCACTTTGAGACTTCATATACTGTATTTAAACCCAAAAATAAATATACTGTTTTTGAAAAAGTCCAACCAAAACTTTCAAATATATTTTCGAAAATATTCAAAAGAGGTAAAATTTTTACAAGATTCAAAAGAGGTAAGAGAGAGAGAGAGAGAGAGAGAGAGAGAGAGAGAGAGAGAGAGATAGAGAGAGAGAGAGAGCATCATATGACTCATTATGTTGAACTGAAACGTCGCCTCAAATCCATTTCCATGGGGAACACGCACATATTCTGCATTTTGTTGTGATATGATAAATATGAAACTACATCAACTGCATTCGCACAAATAAGATCACAGCAATCCATGAATACATGCATATATAATGATAACGATGCTTTCAGAGATTAACATTGTAAAGCTGCATTATTGAGTTATAAATATAAGTTCTACAATACCAAGAAAAATGTAGAAATAGATTAAAATATTTACCATTTGACCCAATATTTGTGTCTCTCAGTGCAAAACAGTCCCGTTCTTCCTCAGTGTTTCTGTCTCGTTTTCCACAACAAACATCTAATCCTGACTCTATTTGATTGGTGACAGCTCTATTGTGTTTTATTGTGTAATTTGATTTATTGATTAAATGTCAATATCGCACAGTGCACAGTCTCTTCTGCTCACCGCTGCATTTATCTGATTAAAAATACAACAAAAACAGTAATATTGTTAAAGGCAATTTAAATCTATTTCAATAGTAAAGGGTAATTTATTCAATATACTCCAGTCTTCAGTGTCACATGATCCTCCAGAATATGAGGATCAGATCAAGAAACATTGATGATTATTATCAGTGTTCAAAACAGTTGTTTAGAATTATTTCTCAGGATTCTTTGATGAGTAGAAAGTTGAAAAGAGCAGCATTTATTTCAAATACAATGTTTTGTAAGATTATAGATGTAAATCCAGCTTCAGAAAGTAAAAGTAAAAGTCCTCCTCAGTGTTTTGTTCCAGTCATATGCATTTATAATTATCAGATTTATCAGCTGAGGTCATGTAATAAACATATGGCTTATGTTTTACTTTCTCTGACAACTCTGACATTTTCAATGTTTACTGTCACTTTTGATCAATTAAATTAGGGATGGGCAACGATTAATCGCGATTAATCGCATCCAAAATAAAAGTTTGTGTTTACATAATATGTAGTGTGTATAATTAATTTGTATATATAAATACACACACATGCATGTATATATTTAAGAAATATATTTTATATATAAAATATATATATATAATATATTTTATATATATTTATTCACAATTAATATTATATATAAATATAAATATTTGATATATTAATAACACATTTTTCTTAAATATATACATGCATGTGTGGGTATTTATATATACAAATTAATTATACACACTACACACACATATATTATGTAAACACAAACTTTTATTTTGGATGCGATTAATCGCGATTAATCGTTCGCATCCCTAAATTAAATGCATAAATTAAATAAAAATATTCATTTATTTGATCTATTTCCCCCCAAAAAATAAAATAAAAATTCTTACTGACCCATAACTGTTTGATGTTACAAAAAATTCTATTTCAGATAAATGCTGTTTGTTCTATTCATCAAATAATCCTGAAATAAAAATGTAAATAACTGTTTTCAGTATTAATAATAATCATAAATGTTTGTTGCTCATCAGATCCTCATATTAGAGTGATTTCTGAAGGATCACGTGACGAAATGATGATGAAAATCACAGGAATAAATTACACTTTACTGTATATTCACATTAAATCTAATAATATTTTATTGTTTTTACTGTTTTTTGTTTTCGATCAAATAAATGTCTCCTTGTTGAGCAGAACAGACTTCTTTTAAAATCATAAATAAAAAATCTTGTGTATACATAAAAATGTGTGTGTGTGTGTGAGTAATATAATAGCCTACCTTCCTCTGTGGGCACGTAGATATTGAGGTACAGACAGTCTTCGCTCTGCTCGTGCACGTACGTCGCTACCGTGTCCAGGTTTGCGGTAAACCACACCGGGAGCATGTCCGTGAGCAGGAGCCGGTCCTCCAGGAACTGCGGACACACCGGAGCGAAGTGTGTGGCGTTCCTGACGCCGGGCCACGACGAGGGCGGATCCGGAGCCTGAAACCGGCGTTCTCCAGTAGGGGGCGTCGCGTACGGGACCCCCAGATACTGCTCCACGGGGCCCAGGATCTCGCTCGCCAACGACACCCGCAACCCGCGCAACTTACCGTAATTGGTGGTCACCGTTGTGTATTGTGCTTGCTGGCAAACGACGAGTGTAACTCCCCAAATCACAGCGAGGATCTGAAGGATCATTCTTGCGGCGAGCGAATGCGCGAACATGCTGACGGAAGTCGTAATCCTTACAAGCGCTAATCTGTAATCCGAGTGTGTCGCGAATCCTCAGGCGAGCTCTTCCCGTTCCTCCTGATGGTCTGAGGGAGCGTCGGCGCTCGTGTTTACCGTATCTGCCATGTTTACCGTTTTCCTGATTTCATTCCGGTGGGATGGATCGGCCTGTGGGAGACAGAAATCAGGATTTACCAAACCTATTTGTACAGTATTCAACATCAAATAAATTCAGCCTTGGAGAGCAAATATCTTCAAGATCTTAGGATAAACAGCGGTTTTAAATTGTAGTTATATTTTTATTATCAAATAAATTCAGCTTTGATCACAGGAATAAATTACGCTTTACTATATATTCACAGTAGATTTACATTGGAATAACATCTCACAATTTTTACTGTATTTTTGATAATAAATAGATACAGATATAACAGATATCTCCAATATATTAGGCTATTATTAAGATTACAAAACTAAGTTTAGGCCTATTTATTTAAAAAGTCTGATAAACATGGCTGATCAACAAATCTGGACTTCAATGTTTCTGTCATTAATAAACACCAAGCAGATGTTTCAGTGTCCTGTGACAGAAAACGCAATCTCTCTCTTTAATATCGAGGTATGTTACACTCTCAGAAAAAAAGGTACAAAAGCTGTCACTGGGGCTGTACCTTTTCAAAAGGTAAACTTTTGTATCCAAAGGCTGCATATTGGTACCTTAGTGGTAGATATTAGCACCTGAAATGGACATATTAGCACCTAAAATGGACATATTACCACCTAAAATGTACGTATTACCACCTAAATGTACATATTAACACCTAAAATGGACATAATTATCGCCTAAAATGGACATATTACCACCTAAAATGTACGTATTACCACCTAAATGGACATAATAGCACCTAAAATGGACATATTACCACTTAAAATGTACGTATTACCACCTAAATGGACATATTAGCACCTAAAATGGACATATTAGCTCATGAAATGTACATATTATCGCCTAAAATTGACATATTAGCACCTAAAATGTACGTATTACCACCTAAATGTACAGCACCTAAAATGTACGTATTAGCACCTAAATGGACATATTAGCACCTAAAATGTACATATTATCACCTAAAATTGACATATTACCACCTAAAATGTACATATTACCACCTAAATGGACATATTAGCACCTAAAATGTACATATTATCACCTAAAATTGACATTACCACCTAAATGGACATATTAGCTCATTAAATGGACATATTATGAACCAACATTTACATATTAGCACCTAAAATGTACATATTACCACCTAAAATGTACATATTAGCACCTAAAATGTACATAATAACACTTAAAATATACATATTATCACCTAAAATGTACATATTACCACCTAAAATGGACATATTAGCTCATGAAATGGACCTATTAGCTCATGAAATTGACATAGTAGCACCTAAAATGTACATATTAACAACTAAAATGGACATATTAGCTCATGAAATGTAAATATTAGCACCTAAAATGTACATATTATCACCTAAAATTGACATATTACCACCTAAAATGTACATATTACCACCTAAAATGGACATATTAGCTCATGAAATGGACATTAGCACCTAAAATGGACAAAAGTTTACCTTTTAAAAAGGTACAGCCCCAGTGTCAGCTTTTGTACCTTTTTTTCTGAGAGTGTATCCGTGTGTCACTAACGTTCCCTAATATTATCTCAGTGGATTCACTCCTGCATTTGTACAGTAATGCCAAATCACAGTCCTGTAACTCCAGAGGTGTGTGTGTGTGAGCGGCAGGTGACGAGGCCGTGAGGAACACGACAGGCTTTGTGTTTCTTTCCATTGAAATGAATGAAATGTTCTGAGTGTCGTCTGGCGGGAGCGAGTCCAGGCTCTCGTATAACATATAAATCTGGCTCACTCATTCAGCATTCCTCTCCGAACACTCAAAGCCATTAACAGAGCTGTCACACACACACACACATCTGCAGGGTTAGCAAGATCTCATCTGTGGGCGGCCACTCGCCGATGTTGAGCAACATGGCAAAGGCACTCGATATATTCTTCATGAGGAGCGAAACATCCTACAAGAAGATGCCGGATATTAAAGCTTGTTTTCAGAGAACGCCTCCTGAATATTAAGAGAGAACTACTGCAATCATTTTATACACATTCAATGCAAAACACTTTTTCAGAAAATCCATCTTGAATATAAAGATATTGAACATAAAATGAGTACAAATTATATGCAGAGAGAAAATGCATTTTTCATAAAAGATATCATGAACATAAAGACATATACAAAGAGAAAACAAGTGAAATATAATTAAATGCAATAGCAAAATACACTTTTTTAGAAAAAACATCTTAAAAATAAAGATATTAAACATAAACAAGTGAAATAAAATTAACTAAAATTTAAGTGCAAAGACAAAATGCATTTTTCAGAAAATATATCTTAAATATAAAGATATTAAGAGAAAACAAGTAAAACGGTAAATTAATAAAAATTAAATGCAATAACAAAATACACTTTTTTAGAAAAAAACATTGAAAATAAAGATATTAAACATACAACAAGTGAAATAAAATAAATAAATAAAAACTAAATGCAAAGAAAAGGTTTCAAAAAATCTAAATAGGCCTATTGCATACAAAGATATTAAACAAACAAGAGAAAAAAGTCAAATAAAATTTAAATTAAAAAATGCATTTATTTAAAATAAATAAATTCAATGAGGAAAAAAATCTTGAATATGAAGATATTAAAGTGAAATATACAAGTGAAATATAAATAAATAAAAACTAAATGCAAAATCTAAATAGGCCTGTTGAATATAAAGATATTACACATAAACATAAAGTGAAATCAAATTTAAATAAAAAAACTGTACTTATTTAAAATAAATAAATTCAATGCAGAAAAAAAAATCACCTTGAATATAAAGATATCAAACAATAAACAAAGAAAACAGTGAAATAAAACTAAATAAAACTGAAACAGAGACCAAATACACTACAATTCCAGATTTTTTTTTTTCAGGATGTTTGCAGGACAAAAACACAAGGAAAAAGAGAGAGAAATTTCTTGAGAATTTGACATTTACAGTGTAAACAAGCTGAAGCAAAACCGCAAATTCACTAATCTGCTCACATCAGAGTTAGCATTAGCATCGGAGTTAAAATTTGCATCGGAGTTAACATTAGCATCTGAATCTGAGTTAGCATTGGCATCAGAGTTAGCATTAGCATCTGGGTTAACATTAGCATCTGAATCTGAGTTAGTATCTGAGTTAACATTAGCATCTGAGTTAGCATTAGCATTGCTTTTAAAGGAAAACGTTATAAACTACAACTGAACGTACATGATCCGAATCGGCAGAATTAAAGAAGGTGTACAGAACATTTTGAGGAGAATAATAATCACCCCATCACTTCATCATCAGCAGGATCCAGGCCCAACAAACACAAAACCTTTAATTAGTTTTCACACAAAACCTTGACAAGAATCACAAGCACATTGTTCTCGGTGCGCTGGAACGTGTGGCAGTTTTCCCATTCACATCACAGGCCTCACAACGCTGCTTATACAGAGCGAAAGCCTCGTTTGTGCTGACACAAACCCAACGTTTGATCAGGCTGTTTATGAATCTCAAACAAGCGCTCGCAACACCCAACTCATGGGTTCGATTCTCATGCAAATGCACTCCAGTTGAGAAGTTGTTTGTGATTAAAGGATTTACTGGGCATTTATACTTCATTTCTAGCCAATCACCTGATCCATTAGTCATGTGGTGTAAGAGTGTAATTGCAGCATCCACCAGCAGGGGCCGCTCTGCTCTACACAAACACACTAACCCTTACAAATAAATAACTACATGCAAAACTTCATATGTTCATACACGGATTAATATGCATTAACTCAAGAATAATTAATTACATATATAAAGCAACTATCATCTTATCTTGTTGCTGTTCCAGTTCTCCTCTATATCAGAGTCAGTGTTTCCGAACTCCTGAAACGCCTCCATTGTAGTCTCGAGTTTCTCCCGGGAACCATATTCCTCATTATAATAATTAATGCGCAGAATAAAGGGGCGGGGCCTGGTAGAGTTAGTTAGTAGTGTGTTAAACATTTCCCAAACACAATCGCAACACACGGTTCCAGCCGACCAATCAGAGCACAGTGTGCTTTTCAGGAGGAGGGGCTTCACAGAGACAGGAAGTAAACAGAGCGTTACTGACAGGCTGGGAATAGAGGAGCCGCAACAGTGGTTTATTTTGTGTTTTGGATACATTTTTGTTCTTATAATACACTGAGAAGTTTAGGATTTAGGCATTTTTAAGCAGAAAGCGTTGAATTAAACGCAAGATTTTTGAAGTCGAAAAAACTGAAACAGTATTTTTTTATAAGTCATTTTGTGGTTGAGTCACTGTGGTTCAGGATGACATTATGAAGAGAGAATAATGACAGATCTCTCATTTTTTAGGTGAACTTTCCTTTTAAACCGCTCCTAAAGCTCACGGCTGTTCTTTTGTAATGCTTTTAGAAGTGACTCCCAGCGGGTGACTTTTACACTCTATTCTCGTCTGCTGAAGCTATTTGTCCAAGGTTTTTGAGGCTGTTTCTCATGCAATAATGACATGTCATTCAGACGCTATACTGTGGCGTCATCATCATCATCCTCATGTTGCATTGCAAATCATCAGAGCTCATTTACTGCTGACAAATGCTGCTGATTTGCAATCAAACTAATGCATCTCAGCTAGTTTAAAGGATATTTGGTCCTCTTTGTAGCATTTCTATTGCTTTTGTGCACCATACTATCACCTGGTGGTTCACTGCTGAATAAAATACTCACGTTAATGGCAATGCATGCAACCCATGACAATGTATTTAACAAGCTGAGTAGTGTTCACTCAAAGGGTCAAAGCCATTTTAATTATCTATTCTAAACCACCCTGTGCGATTGATCACCTTTGACTATTTCCCATAATTCTATAGGCTATACGACTGCATGCCAAACACAGCTGAAAAAGTGGTGATGCACCAACAAGCATCTTGTTTTCTATTGCAGGATGGATGTGCAACACTCTCTCAAACATCCTTAATGATTCTATGATATATTAGCCATGCATGCATCATAAGGTTGATTAATGTTGGTCTCACAAGGCCGTTCCATAAAATCACCAATGCCACCAGTTATTATTATTGGGGTTCTCAATCATTATTAATGCATGCAAGGAGCTAAAGAGCCTAATATTTAAGATTTCTACCGAAAAACCAAATGCATTCAGACATTAAATCTGTGCAATCGATGTGGACGTGTAAAGTAGGTTATTAAATCCCCCACAGATCTTACCTGCTTCCCCTGTCCTGCGACTAACACAATCACTTCTTTACGAAGGACACAATTTGCGACTATATCGCTATATTTTGACGATGTGACGATCGTCCAACGTCTATATGATGATTTATAGACAGACCATCTTCCTCATACAGAAATAGCCCGTGCAACCTGCGGGTACATTTAAAATGCATAATCAGGCACAGCTGCTTACCTTCACAACAGCACAACCTGAGGTAAAAGAAATGTTAGATCCGAGAGATGCGAGCAGAAGATGCGGACAATCTCCAGAACACAGCGCGCATATTCATCGATTCTCGAAAAGGCAGGAGAAACGTCCTTGCATCAGTGAAAACCGCACAGATAATCCCGCACACTATAATCTCAGTGCTCCGATCGATCCCAGCGTCTTCATGTGTGTGTGTGTGTGTGTGTGACTCGATTGAGCTCTAGTGGGTTCGTGTCGAAGCAGAATCTCAGTGGCTGCGGACTGACTGCATTAAACCCCAGAGAGATTTCCATGAGAAAAATGGAGAAGTTGAGAAATGACAGGACACTCTGTCAGAGAACACACCTCAGCACGATATAGGATGGTTTCTTCGTTTATTAATAAAGCTAACACGTCATTTTGGAATGTTCGCACGTCCAGGTTTGAAGGAACGTTCCATTTTAGAATGTTGCCAAACGTTACTTTTGAATGTTCTCTGGACGTTCTAAATTCCATGAACAACGTACGTAAATAAAGTTGTGTTAATACTGTTTTGTGAGAACATTACTAAAGAACAGATAATAACGTTTAATTAGGCTATAATTATTGTTAGCATAAATTCTGTGGACGTTCCCTCTATCATCCCAACAGTAAACCTGAATTGGTATTCAGTTTGCAATTTGCATTAGATTGTTGTCTTTATTCTTTTGTTTTATCATGCTTGATAAGTACATTTGATATAGTAACACAAAACCTAGAAAAAAATTAAAAATTATTTTTGGTAATTGATTTTTTTTTTAAATATTTATAAATCATGAAATTTATAGATCATGGAATATTAAATGCTTAAATAAATTGATCTCAAAAGATTAAAAGAACAGAAAAGTCCAGACATGCATTAAATAACACAGGAAATGAATACGGGTCTTTTTAGACCCATGTTGTGCATTAGAAGGGGTATCCATAGCTTGCGCATCAAAGGGTTAACATGAAATGAAGTTTTTTTTATGTTTTTTTTTTTTTAGTATGAATATGATCGCCTTGCAGCATTCACAGTCTGACATCACTCTGCACTTCAGCTTCTCTGTCCAATAAAATTCTCTCTAGAATCTGAAGCTCCGCCCCCTACACTATGAATAGATGCTGAAATCGGTCACTTGTTCACACTGTTTGCTATTATCTGTTACTATTATCAATTTGATGAACGAGTTCGAACAGAAGAGTCACAAACACACATAGAACAGAGCAAGGCAAGCATTTGAGCTTATAAAACTTAAACTTTGTTATTTATTTATTAAATGAGCGATCATTTCACTTGATAAGACCCTTATTCATCGCCTGGAATCGTTTAAAGCCCTTTGAACAGTTTGCACTGAAACTCTCATTTGGACCTTGAACCGTTTGGACCCCATTGAAGTCTATTATATGGAGAAATTGCTGGAATGTTTTCATCAAAAACCTTAATTTCTTTTCCACTGAAGAAAGAAAGACATGGACATCTTGGATGACACGGGGGCGAGTAAATTATCAGAATTTTTTTTTTTTTTTTTTTAAAGTGAACTACTTTAATTATTGTAATCACAGATGCCTTATTTGATCAATTGAGGATAATTAGGACATTTCAAAGGCAAAAAGTGTCACGATTGACCTGACTTCACCCTATTATTACTGTATATTATGGAAAATGTGTACGGGGAAACTTACTCGATGAGATGACGAGATGCTCTTCAAATGACCCTGGAGTGTGACGCGAGGACCGAACGCCGGCCGGATGATGATATCATCGCTGACATTAGGTGGAGGTTATTAGTTACTGAACCGGCTTCAGGCTCACATCGCAGATCACACCACCATCCTGATACTTTGGACAGAAAACACTTGATACTAATCCCTGTTTGTGGTGTATGAAGAACCATAGTAGCGGCGTCTACTCAGAACTCACGATACCACATCATTGCGATACTCCAAGACATATGATAAAGGTTAATAAAACACTTACTGTTGATTAAAATGCTAAATTTGGTGTTACGTTGTGTGTGTAAATGAATATTCTTGGACTTGGTGCTGAAACCCAAAGCACAGACAATAGAGACACCAGAATTACAATATTCATGAATCTGAAGCTGAATATACACTATTATTATTATTATTAGACGAATATATATTTAATTTATTTATTTTAATTTATTTAATTTATTTTGGGTGTATGATACACAATACACATGTTGTCACTATCCACAGTATTTTTTGCAATGCAGACTATTGTGACAGGATATATTGTTACGCCGCCGCTGGATAGTGGTTTAGCGCATGTAGACCGTGTGACTGTGTCTCTAAAAGCACACACACACACACACACACACACTGCTGTGAGCTCTTTTATCTTGACATCTAGATGATTTTGCAGCAGTGACAGGTTAGTGTTATCTCCTGAATTCAGAGATGTTGGCTGTGTTATCGACATGCACTTGTGTTCCTCAGGGCTCATATTTGCGGTTTATAAACACAACTGCTAAAGAAAGTCTGAACTGCGAGGTTATAACTTCCAATTCCATGTTTAGATCTCCAAATTATGACTTTATTTCTCACAATTCTGAGTTAAAAACTCACAATTATTACTTGTTTCTCACAATTGTGAGACATTGGGCCAGATTTACCAACAGCGCAAACCCTCTTCTGGCTTTAAAAGAACGACTGTCAGGATTTACTAAAGACACGCAGTGATAAATTAGCAATAAAGAGGCATGGACAGTCATTTTTCAGGGACTAACCTTATTGCATATATAAGTGTCCACTCATGATATAGGAGAAGGAGAGAACCAATCAGCATTAAGGGGTGTGTCCACTCATGATATAGGAGAAGGAGAGAACCAATCAGCATTAAGGGGTGTGTCCACTCATGATATAGGAGAAGGAGAGAACCAATCAGCATTAAGGGGCGTGTCCACTCATGATATAGGAGAAGGAGAGAACCAATCAGCATTAAGGGGCGTGTCCACTCATGATATAGGAGGAGGAGAGAACCAATCAGCATTAAGGGGCATGTCCACTCATGATATAGGAGGAGGAGAGAACCAATCAGCATTAAGGGGCGTGTCCACTCATGATATAGGAGGAGGACAGAACCAATCAGCATTAAGGGGCGTGTCCACTCATGATATAGGAGGAGAGAACCAATCAGCATTAAGGGGCATGTCCACTCATGATATAGGAGGAGAGAACCAATCAGCATTAAGGGGCGTGTCCACTCATGATATAGGAGGAGAGAACCAATCAGCATTAAGGGGTGTGTCCACTCATGATATAGGAGGAGAGAACCAATCAGCATTAAGGGGTGTGTCCACTCATGATATAGGAGGAGAGAACCAATCAGCATTAAGGGGTGTGTCCACTCATGATATAGGAGAGAGATCCAATCAGCTTTAAGGGGCGTGTCCACTCATGATGTAGGAGAGAGATCCAATCAGCTTTAAGGGGCGTGTCCACTCATGATATAGGAGAGAGATCCAATCAGCATTAAGGGGCTATGTCCACTCATGATATAGGAGGAGGAGAGAACCAATCAGCATTAAGGGGCGTGTCCACTCATGATGGAGGAGGAGGGAGATCCAATTAGCATTAAGGGGCGTATCCACTCATGATGGAGGATGAGAGAAACCAATCAGCATTAAGGGGCGTATCCACTCATGATGGAGGAAGGAGATCCAATTAGCATTAAGGGGCGTGTCCACTCATGATGGAGGAGAGAGATCCAATTAGCATTAAGGGGCGTGTCTACTCATGATGGGGAGGAGAGAGATCCAATCAGCATTAAGGGGCGTGTCCACTCATGATGGGGGAGGAGAGAGCTCCAATTAGCATTAAGGGGCGTGTCCACTCATAATGGAGGAGGAGAGAGATCCAATCAGCATTAAGGGGCGTGTCCACTCATAATGGAGGAGGAGAGAGATCCAATCAGCATTAAGGGGCGTGTCCACTCATGATAGGGGAGGAGAGAGATCCAATCAGCATTAAGGGGCGTGTCCACTCATAATGGAGGAGGAGAGAGATCCAATCAGCATTAAGGGGCGTGTCCACTCATGATGGGGGAGGAGAGAGATCCACTCAGCATTAAGGGGCGTGTCCACTCATAATGGAGGAGGAGAGAGATCCACTCAGCATTAGGGGGCGTGTCCACTCAGCACCACACCCTGACAGCCATCAGGCAAGAGCTTTAGGACCCGCGTTAATATCAGAAAAGCTTTCCAGCGCTGAGCAGAAGGTCCATACATGAGGAACACTGGTTTACTGTTTCAGAGCCCAGAAATGCTGCTGTTGTAATGTTAGCTCACGTAACAGCAGCACAGTTTGAGTGTCGGGTTCATCTCTTGCTGTTTTAACCGAGACTCAAAGACGATCCGTGCAGAGAATCAAGAGCTGTTATTTATAAAGCGCAATATGGCACAGCAACTTTTTAAAGTCTCTTTTTCCTTCGGACGCCATGTTTGTGTCTCTGATCAGTAGTCTGAACACACGGCGTGTCCAAGGTGCCTTACACACGGATCTCGCTCCACACACACTGAAGCACCTCTGCAGGAACACACACCGGCCGCTTTTAAACATTTCAACATCACATCAGATCACACTCTTCAGATGAAGAAGACATCACTGCAGCGGCAGGGGATTTGCGCACAGAGACGTGAGGTCTCGCACGACCAAGAAACAAGCAGGCGAACTCAAACAGATCAGCGTTGGGGAACACACACACATGTTTTACTTCACTAGAGTTAAAGCTCGGCTTTAAAGCCTGTGTATAGTGGGACTCAAAGACACAACAAGCCTGGAGTTATTATGAACCGTATTCATGTTATTTTCACATACAGAGGCAGTGACAGCATCATTAAGAAACAATATTTCCCCCTGGAACTGCTTTTCTGGGGCATCATACACTAAAGTAGCTGTAAATAATGCACAAGATTTCACAACACAATAAATGCTCTGCAAGAACACTTGTTTACAGACGCACTAAACCATCTCGAGAGGCTTGAAATAGAGGATGTGTTTGAAATATTGTGTCAGAGAGTTTATTTCTAACTTTTGACTGTGTGTGTGTGTGTTTACAGTGTGTGTCTGTATATATATATATATATATATATATATATATATACACTCTAAAAAATGCTGGGTTGTTTTAACCCAACTTTGGGTCAAATATGGACTAACCCGAAATGTTGGGTTAAAAATGTAATGTAAAAATTTAACCCAACGACTGGGTTTGTCCATATTTGACCCAAAATTGGGTTAAAACAACCCAGCATTTTTTAGAGTGTATATATATATATATATATAT